CATGCAGATACGGGGCAAGATGAAACAGCATGGGCAAAGGCAAGTAAAGTAAAGGTAGGCTTGGCATATGCAAGGCACAAATAAGACAGCTAGTGTGGCTGCTGTGAAGTGAACATGAAAGAGAGAAGTAGAAGCAAGTCTCATGGGGCAGAGGGAAGGCTAGATGATAGACCCTGTAAATTCTATTAAAGACACTGACTTTTTCTGAGTGAAGGAACTCTGGTAGTGCTGTGGTAAAGAAATGGACTGCCAACCAAAAGGCTAGGAGTTCAAAACCAGGAACCACTCCAAAGGAGAAAGATAAGGCAGTCTGCTTCCATAAAGATTTACACCCTTGGAAACCCTATTGGGTAGTTCTACTCCATCCTATAGGGCTGCTATGAGTCAGAATCGACTTGATGGCAGTGGGTCTGGTGGGTTTTTCTGAATGAGGGGAGAAGCCTTCGGAGGATTTTGAACAGTAAAGTGGCATGACCCAGTGTGTGTTTTAAAAGGATCGCTGGTTAACATGATAAGCAGTCCATACAGGCAGCAAGAATGAAAGCAAGGAGACTAGTGAAAAGACCAGTACAAATTCTAAGAGAGAATGGCGTGGATGACTTTTCTGGACAATTCTATGAAAACACTTCAAATGTAAGTTTTTTACTCACTCACTCAAAAAGCTTCCAGGAAAACCAAAACAGAATTCAGTTCATGTTAAAAGAACAGGCTAGGACCAAAACTCCTAGGCTTTTAGTGACATAAAGAGAAAGCTATGAAACCTTAAAGCATATACTAACATATGGAATTAATTTTACCACACTGTGAAAATGCCAACCATCATCTACCTTAGGAATCATATCTGGACTATGTTTCCTCTTCCACTGAATATTTTATGGAATATGTATATATGGAAAAAGGTGTGCATTGGGGAGTTCTGGAAAATGAAAACTGCCTATAAATTGCAAATAGTATTTCCCATTATGCCACAGAGGAGACTTGGTGGCGCAGTAGTTGAGCACTTGGCTGCTAACCAGCTGATTTTAAACCGTGCAACATGCCCTTGTTCTGTTACTTGATCTCATTATTTTGTAAGATCCACCAAAGCCACAGTAGAAAATAGGCAAGCAAGCATGTACACACATTATCTGATGACTTGGACTAGATAATCTCCAGTTCCTAACATCTTATTAAATACCAGTAGAAGATGCCTTTCTTAAAAATTTAAATTACCTCTTACCTAGGTCTCTAGGTGAATTCAGTAATGGAGGCTTTTAATTCAAACACCTAACAATTTTACCTCACCCACAATAAAATAATGCCATATATACCTTTACAGAATCCATAAAACTATACCTTTTGGCTCAATATTCCCATAACTGAGAATTCTTGGAAAAACTTAAACAGGAATAAAGTGCTATATATCCAAAGGTATTCAAAGTATTTTGTCTCTACCAGCAAAAAACAGACAAATGTCAAAATGCCCAAAGGGGGAATGGAAGATAGGAAAATCAGACCCACTGGAACATAAATTGAACACTAGATAGAAACAAGAAGTTTGGTGCATTAAAGAATCAAGAGATTATAAACTATTCTAGACTATGACTGCAACCATATAAAAAATATAGTCATGTAATCCAAAACTAGAAAGTAACATGCAAAAGGCTGGTGGGATTGTGGGTGAGTTTTCTCTCTTCAGAAGTTTTTTTTTTGACATTACAGGTGTGTAATTTTAAAACTAAAAGGGGAAAATATAAAGCTATTCCATATAGAGAGATGAGGTGGGGAAAAAGCTGCAAACTTAAGTAGGAAAACACTTGGTTTGTGAGTACATTAACACTGGTAAAATATCCTGGCTAGGCTTACATTGCTGAGCCCAGCATTTCAGATGTTGCTCATCAAGAAGTCATCTAGAAGTAACTGACCTTTGCTCATTGGCAAGATATCTGCACACTCAGAGTTCTTGAATTAAGAACTTTTTATCAAAGGAAGCCATAAAATCTAGAAGTCTTCTAATCCAGTTCCTGAATACTCTCTACTTGCTAATGCAATCCACAGTTCAACCTAGGACCTATTGGTAAGAAAATGGAGCTGCAGCAAGCCCATCCATTAATCAGAAATATGGTTAATTTTTAGCATTAGGCAACTGAGAAACAAAATAGCTGAGAAGAGGGAGCTTAGAATGAAAACTGTATACATTTTAACATAGCCTAAATATTACAACAAAAAAAGATAGCTCCCACCTCCCCACTAAACACATCAGAAGTTTACTCCCCATCTTCTTCATAAAGGAAAATGGATACTGAACAAAACAAGGGAACAAAAGGAAAACGACAAAGAGTTCTAAAGGGAATATATGGATTAAGGGATGTCAGGATATTTATTAAATAGTAAAAACCTAAAACAAAAACCAAAAAAGAAATGACAAGCAGACTGGACCCTAAATATCCCTTAATCAGCACATTTTCTCCCTAATGAATGTCCAAATGAGAAACCAAATTATAACTGAAAGTACATTCTCAAAATGAGAGTTATTCTAATCATTAGAAATGCAGGCTTCACTGAAGGGATCTAAGTGTCAATTAAGGCAAATATTAGTGTTGGTTGATTAGAGCATGTCCACCCAAGTGATACTAAGGTTAACTGGCTTGTCCTTGCTCTCCCACAACTCTTCATTCAGACTGCCACAATAGAAATATTTCAGTTTTAGCTTTCTTTTATGAAATGTTTTCTTATTCTCTACCCTACCTCAATTCCCTGATTCACATAATCTTGACTATATGTTTCTCTAGAATTTTAGACCATCTCTTCTTCCACAGTTCATCTGTTGATTGCCAACAGTTCCATTCAGAACATAACCCTAGGTGAAATTCAAAGAGCATTATGGATCAATCTCCTAAATACTGATCTCTAAGTAGTAGAATAATCTTCTCTTACAAAGTTTCATGAAATTAAGTTAGAATTAAATGATGAAGCACATTACTTTAGATTACCCTCTGAGGGGCTGGATACACCCCCCACTGCAGTCATGAAGACTCAATCACTGTAACACCATCCTCTGCAGAGAATCACAAAACCTAAACCCAGAGCTCCTTTAAGAAATCTGTTAGAGTGAATGGCAAAAATCATGAGAGACTTCTCTGGTCTATTTAGAAACCAAAACCAAACTCACTGCCATCAAGTCAATTCCAGCTCATGGCAACCCCCCACAGACTTTCTAAGGCTGTGCATCTTTACAGAAGTAGATCACCTTTCTCCTGTGAAGCAGCTGGTGGATTTGACCCACTGACCCAGGTTAGCAGCCCAATGCCTTAAAACCACAGTGACACCAGAGCTCATTGGTCTATTTATAAAAACCTCCAGATACATTCTAAAATCTTCCTCTATAGCTCACTCAAGCAATTCTTATAGCCAGGATGGTTAGCGTTTTATGTTTTGTTACAATCTAGATCTATCCCAGTTAAATCCTTTTCAAGGCAAACAGCTATATTTGGAAAAATTAAACATTTAATAAAAACGTCAATGTTCTAAGAAAGACAAAAAGAAAAAAAAGAAGAAAGAAAAAAGAAAAAAAAAGGCCAATGTTTTTAAGGATTTTTCCCAAAAAATATCTGTATTACAATAAATAAGAAAAATAAAAAGTTCATACCTTTAGCTCTTTTTGTCAGTATCTTAACTGACATTGGTTTTTCCCTAATTTTTAAACATACAATTACGAATTCTTTCAAATACACAATACATACCTATGTATGCAAAAAATTAGAAAATTGAGCACATACACAAACTTCTAATGGTTTTATACCAAAAAGATTTCATGTGTGGACATTTACATTTAAAAATTTCTGATAAAATTTTAAAAACACTATTTATGAACTAAAAAAGTAATGCACCCTCTTGAACTCAGCTATAACAAAGGGACATAACTTAATATTAACTCTTCATATATTATTTTTACATCTAGAAAATAATGCATTGATCCACTAATTAACAAAGCTATAGTCGCTTTTCCAGTTTTCAAATAACATCAAGACAAAATAACTATGTAACTCAGCACTTTAAAGTTTCTCATGTTAATGCTGCTGTTGTTGTTGTTATTATGTGCCCTTGAGTCCGACCAACTCATAGTGACCCCTCCTTGGGTTTCTAAGGCGGTATCAGTACAGAAGTAGATTGACCAACCTTCCTTCCAAGGAGTGACTGGTGGGTTTGAACCGCCAGCCTTCTGGTTAGCAGTCAAGTGCCTTAGGCACTGTGCTACCAGAGCTCCTAGACACACATATTGTGAAAATGCACACTTTGTTAAATTCTGAGATGATAAATACTTAAAGCTATTTAATTAAATGAGGCAAATTATATATCTTTTGTTTATATTCCCTTCCACTGATGCCTTGCTAAGAGACACTAACTAAATATCTACCTACTTGTTAATTTATTTTTATCTAGCTCTTATTTTTCAGGTCTCAGTTTTTACTTAACTTCTTCCACAGGCCTTCCCCAAATCCTTCAATCCATATTACACACCCTAGAAATGCACTCGATGGCAGTGAGTTTGGTTTGGTTTTGGAGAAATGTACTCCTGATAACACTTGTACTTCCACTAACAAAGCATTTAAATACAGCGGATTGATTACAATTTTCTGGCAGTGACTTGCACAAGAGCTCAAATATTTGCTAAATGAAGAAATCAAAAGCAAAGTTGCCACAATAGACCTTAAAAGTGGCAGAGAAGTCAACCTTTAAATTAGGCTACAGCTGTTATGAGGGCCGCTGATGAGAGAACAGTCTATAGATAGGTACAGCCCCTCCTGAAGAAGAAAGGCTAGTCATAAGCTTCTAAAAGCAGAACAGTCAAACAGGACAGTAAGACTATGACTGTCTATATGCTGACTCAGTCTGAGCCATTCACTTTTATAATGATTTTCACCGTTGGCTTAAAAATTAGATGAGTCAATTTAAGAAACAAGAGACATCTTTCTTTTTTAAAAGTTACTTAAAATAGTCATAAACTGGATAAACCTCACCTGTCATGGGATCAAAAAGCTGATTAGCTTCTAAGTCTGTAAAAGTACTACTACAAAAAGGACATTTGAAGGAAGCCCGGTTGGTGGAATCTCTCTCATCAGTTTCAATCCTCCTTCTCATGTGGTCCAACTTATATTTTACTACATTAACGAGAGTACGATAATTGATAAAGTAGTAGTTATGGCGAGTGGTTTTCCCATCTGCAGCAGTCTCTACCCTCATTCTGCATTTGATGAATTTGTCTCCCTTTAAATTATTCAAAACCGATCGAAGTTGCTTCCGATCAAACTTGAGCAGCTCCAGCATGTCCTCCTCTTTCACACAGGGGTTTCGAATCAAGATATCCAAGGCCAAGGCGTGTTCAATGCCATAAAATCCTCGGATGACATACTTGGCTAACCTCTTCAATGCTGCAGGAACTTCAGTGAGAACATCTGGGTCCGCCATCTTTAGTGGCAAACTTCAATGTCAAAAATACTGAATTGAGGAAAAAAAAAAAAAGAGGAAGAAGATTAGCTACGCATAAGGACATGGTAATCAATCTAAATCTACAATAATTAACTTGTTACTGGTAGCTGATGGCTACCACTATTCTTGGAGTGCCACCAGGTACTTAAACATTGTTTTAAAAGACTTCCAATGCCTAAGCATTTAGCACAGCACAGGAAGATTTTCCTCTAGAGTACATAAAAGACTGCACCTATAAAGGTTGACACCATTCATAAATTATTACTTCCACAAGCTACAGTATGCTTGATTCCTAAAAGTAATTTATTAGTTAAAACAATGATATATCAAGCCCATATTATCTCAGAAAGAAAAACACACAAAAAAACTAAATGAAGTGTTCACTATTCTTAATGACATATATCTTCAAGTGTGTACAAGAAATCCCCTGAGAAACCTAGCAGTCAATAGATCCTCTTAGAGTGTCTTTATTTCTTAAGTAAGGTTTTCCTACCAAGATAGATTCTAGAATGTTTTACATAAGACTTCAAAATAAAACCATAGCAAAACCAATAAACACACAAGTCATCACTAGTTGGGGTGTTTGGCAAAATCATTAACTGTTGCAAGACAGAAAGAAATAAGCATTTTTAGATTCAGACAACTTTACCAACCTTGAAAAGTTAAATCTGACAATCAACTAAGGAGATACCATAAAGTCCTCAAAAAAAGAAAGGAAAAAAATAGCCCAGGATATCCTTAAACACCAGATCCTTTGCAGAACAAAGCAGAAGTTAAGAGGACCAAATATCTGTATTATAATCCAGAAAGCTGTCTTCTGAAAGCCCAAACTGCCATGGGCTACACTTCCATGTGGTTGTTAAAAAGCCTGTGCTTTGGTAGACGTATGTGATCTAGAGCAACCTTTTTAACAACTTCAAGCCACACTTGACTCTGAGAAATAAGGATGATATCATCTACCTCAATGGGGTTGGTAGCATAATGCCTAAGGCATTTGACTGCTAACCAGAAGTCTGGCGGTTCAAACCCACCAGCTAATCCTAGGAAGGAAGACTGGGCAATATACTTCTGTAGAGATACTGCCTCGGAAACCCAAGGAGGGGAGGTCACTAGGAGTTGAATCAACTCGATGGCAGTGAGTTTGGTTTTTGGTTTTAGTGATGAATAAATGAGTATGTAAGTATTTAGAAGGTACTTGTTGATAAGGATACCTTCCATATTGATTTAATATGTTCCAAATTAAAAATGATAAGGCTATCCACACAGACTACCTTAAGTGAAATTTCCACACATCATAGGGAAAATTTTAACAGTATTCCTTTCAGCTATCTCAATGGGAAATCTTTTATTAATATCAGTCTCTAGTGAACCTTTTATATGAAACCAGTCATCATCAACTCTATCAGATTCAATACCCCTTTTTATAAGAAATATTTTTAATATCCACACCACTACACTTGAAAGAAATTCCTAAGTAACCAACCTAAATTTTTTGGGGAAAATATAATGCCCTATTTGTAATAAAGGAAAAACTAAAAAAGAATCATTCAGACTATATAACATACTTCAGATTATAAATACACAAGTACGACTATACATAAGAGATAATAAAGTAGCCAGATGCATGCACATGTATATGTGCATATATATAATTTATATGTAAATATATTTATATATGTATAAAGTGAACAATTTTAGAGGAGTACAAAGATCATAAGCCAGTCATACAAAAAAGTATAGGAAATTTAAAGAGCAGAAGTTGATGTGGACACATGAATAAGAACCAATATATTCATCATATATTAAAGCAACACAAAAACACTTCGTGTTATTCTGTAAAGTAGGAATTATGTTCTAGGCTTCAGAAGCTCTGGTGGTGTAGTGCCTAAGGCATTTGACTGCTAACCAGGAGACTGACAGTTCAAACCCACCAGCCACTCCTCAGAAGGAAGGTTGGGAAATTTACTTCCGTTGTTCTAGGCTTAAGTAAGTCATTATTCTACATGAGTATCCAGAATGACATTGGATCACTATGTTGTCCCGTTCTTTATTGTATGGAAGCTCTGGTGGCGTAGTGCCTCAGGCATTTGACTGCTAACCAGAAGGCAGGCAGTTCAAACCCACCAGCCACTCCTAGGAAGGAAGGTTGAGCAATCTACTTCCGTAGTGATACTGCCTCGGAAACCCAAGGAGGGGTTGCTATGAGTCGGATCTGACTCTACGGCAGTGGGTTTCTGGTATCCTCTGCTTTGCAAAGCACTTAGGAACTACTGGTCCCCATCCATTAAAGATTACTAGCAGACTTCCAAACATCATGACAACTGAAAAATCCTCCCACAACTTCTAAAATGGCCCCCTTCAGAACCTGTTCTAAATGCATATAAAATGATGGCCTGTTTGATTTTACCTAGCAGACTTAAATTCTGTGGATAGTTCATTGACAACTTCCTTTTCACTCACCTATAAATTCACTCATTCTATTCTTCCCATCCACTAAGCATTCTTCCATTTTTTCTCTTACTTACATTTGTAGGTAAGAAAATGGAGACTATCACCTTTCTTTCAGAGGAGAGTTATGCAGTTTCTCATGGATACTTGTAGAAACAGTGACTAGATTAGTAATTAGAATTTGTATAACACTCTATATGTCTCTCAAGAACAAATAAACACCAAACCTTAGGAGCAGTTTAGTTCCCCTAACTGAAACCTATAACCCTAGGACCTTCCGGTTACCCTAAGATTTAAAGATGACAGACAAGTGCTTTGGTTCAACATCAAGATAATTTCATTGCCTAAAAGGATACATTTTGTTCTTCTCTCAATTTGGTTTATGCATTGTACTTTAATCCAGTTTGGCTTTTGTTTTGTTTTACATGCTCAACAAGAAACATTCAACAGAACAAAGAATGGCAGACAAGTATCAAAATAATACCCTAAAGAATAATGTAGAATCTGCAAAACACCGCACATGTATGAACTTGGAGGACATTATGCTGAGTGAAATAAGTCAATAACAGAAGGACAAATATTGTTATTAGTCTGTTATTGTAAAAGTCAAAGAAAGGTTTATCTATGGAAGGAAATTTTCTTTGTTGGTGGGAGGGGAGGGGAAGGAACACTGTTAGATAGATAGAGATAAGTATTGATTTGGGTCAAGAGAAGAGCAATGTACCAAATGTGAGTGATCAATATGGTGGCACTGAGGAAGAGGAAGACACAGAGAGGTACACAAGAAGTACAGACAACAAAGATGAACCCTTTTGCATATACAATACTGCATTGTCAGTGAAGGCAAACATGAGTATACGGGTGGATAGATGGGTGGAAGGCTGAACTATTAGGTATGTCTATGCAGGAGGGAGTGTACCCATGACCACATATAGGGTTGGCAGACAATGGTCCTATAAGTGTATTTGTACGATCTGTAAGAATTCCCAGGTATATAGTAGAGCTGACAAGGGTCAAGGCTGTAGTCACTTCTTGGTCACAGCCAGCCACCCAGAGGGACCAAGTAGTTGAACTGGTGGGCTCAGGACCATAGTCTCAGGGGACAGCAAGCTCAATTGGCATAACATACTACACAAAACATTGTCCCACCTCCTACTTTGGCAAGTAGCAACTGGAATCTTAAAAGCCTGCAAGCAGCCATCTAGATGCAATGATGGGTCTCTCCTCATCTAGAGCAAAGAAGAATGAAGAAAACCAAAGATTCATGGGAACAATTAGTCCTAGTGACTGGTACAACATCTGCTCCACAGCCTATATGACTATGAGACCAGAAGAACTAGATGGTGCCCGGCTACCACTGTCAATCACTCGAAGGGGGATCTATATAGGAGATCCTGGATAGAAAGGGAGAACAATGTGGAACAAAACTCAAAATCATTTGGGGGAGAAAAAAAAGGAGGGGACCAGCTTTCTGATAGAGTCTGGTGGAACCACTGAGACTATGGTCCTTAACTTCCCTTCAGCTCTGGAATTGAACCCACACCTGTGGCTTCCAGCCAAACAAAAGACAGGCATATGAGTTGAAAATTTACCTGAGGTAGATACACTCCTTGGAGAGATCAATCATGGGAGAAAGAAGGGCTGTTTATGCACAGGGAGACAGCTCAGGGGGCAGGAGTGCATGGAGGGATGGACACAGGAAGGGGTGACTATCAGGAGGAAGTGGGAGGGGAGCTGTTGCACTGGGGTCAATTGTAATCAATGTCATGAGACAAAGTGTACGTGAACTGTTGCATGAAAAATGAATTTGCTCTGTAAATTTTCACCCAGATCACAATTAAAAAAAAAAAAAAAATGTCAAAATAATAATCATTATGAGCTCAAACTATTCCTTTAAAACCAGATCATTTCCTCTACTCTCGTCTGGAAACTGAGGTAAAATGTTAATTCAGTGAACAGTTTAAGTACCCCATGTGTAGGTCATAATACAAGATAAAGAAAGAAACAGACAATCCCTATCTTTAGCATTTGTCATATTGTGACGGCTTGCGAGTTCCTGTGAGGCTGGAGGTATGCCACTGGTATTTTAAATATGAGCAAGGTCACCCATGGTGGACAAGTTTCAGTGAAGCTTCCAGAATAAGAAAATCCAAAAAAGGAAGGGGTTATCCACTTCTCAAAGAACTGGCCAGTGAAAACCTTATGAACAGCAATGAAGCACTGTCAGTATATTACTGGAAAACTTTACCAACAGCCCTGAAACACTGATTACAGTGCCAGAGGATGAACCCTTCAGGTCGGAAGGTATTCAAAATATGACTAGGGAAGAGCTGCCTCCTTAAAGTAGAGTCAACCTTAATGACATGGATGGAGTAATACAACTTTCAGGACTTCCATCTGCTGATGAGGCACAACTAAAAATAGAAAGAAACAGCTGCAAACATACATTAATGACTGGAATGTGGAATGCGCTAAGTATGAATGTAGGAAAACTGGAAGTTGTCAAAAATGAAATGGAATGCATAAAGATCATATCCCAGGCATTAAATAAGATGAAAGGGA